ATATGCAGTAATATGTCAAGGAACAGCATCTAGATATGCTCTGGCAAAACCAGACGTGCACTCTGAATTTTTAAGCATTTGGATTTGTTTTTTTTTTTTTTAAACTACAGACTGAGAGAAGTCTGAACAATCTCCCCACCCTAGCCCTTACATTTTGGCTTTCATTCTCCAGAGCACTGTGATTCTGATGTAGAAAACCATACAAGATGGATCAGTACACAGAATTTCTCCTCTCTATTACAGCCCCTCTCCCATTGGCACAGATTAAAGACTGAGTTGTAGCAGGCAGCAAACGCGACAGTCACTATATGACTGAGAGTCACCTGTGGATGTATTGCCACCATTGCTCCACTGACAAGCCAATGTCATTTAAAACATCCTTTATGTTGCTTTAAAATAATCCTGAAAAGTAGCTGTAAATCCTGAAAAACTGAAAGCAAAAATTATTTTGAGTCCTTTCTGCCATCTTCCTAAACTATAATAAATTATAAATTCCAAATCTCTGACAATAAAAAAAGAAATCCTGCTATTTAATGCATAACATAATCCATTTATGCATAACATTTCATCCATAAAATGGGCAACTGGATGCTATGGCTATAGTTGATTCTGCCAATAGATGGACTGGTACTTTAATTACTTCCTAGGGTCCCTTTCGGCCCTATTTTTATGATGCTGTACTGAATATCTGAGTGAAATCATTGAGATGTTTGCATAACAGATCTGTATGCCTAATTGACCCGATTTGTTCCTGCTAAGATACTGCCCATAGGGAAAAGTAAACAGAAGACACGCACTTGTGGCTATTCAGGAAAAGCAGATCTTTCAACCTACTGGAGCAAGTTGTCAGTGAATATGAAGGTTAAGTGGGCATAATGATTCATTAGGTGCTTAAAGAAAAAAACATTTAGGCTGATGATCTACAACTGAGCTAATTTAATGAGAGGACAAATCAATTGGAGCTGAACTAACGAAAATACCCTGTCTTGTCACACACTGCCTAACTGCAACTTGAAATAAGCTGCGGATTTTGAACAGCCTGATTAAGAAGTGAGTTTGCTCAGCAGAAGGTGCACAGGGCAAAATAATCCTCGGCTTTTTGATGCACGAAATAGACATGCACATCTATCCTGCCTTTGACTGTGCAGATAGAGGCCCATCCTAGAACAGGGAATCTAAACTATCCATAGATTAACCCATATAGGTATATATAAAACCCATATATATATATGGGTTATACAGGCATATATAACTTGCCCCTACTGGAGCAGGATGCTAAACACCATGTGCTTCAGCTGAGAACATAAACCAGCAAATTATCATCTGCAAATGGTTGCCCATTTATGAAGGCAAATACCAATCAATGGATAGCCCGAAGTATAAAGGATTGCTTGTACGTTTTGTCCTGTTTTATGTATCTGTGGATGTTATTTATGACAATTTTTTACTGGATTGACTTCAATGGATTCAAAGTGGTTGAGGATCAGCCACATGTAAAAAAAAAAGAAAAAAGTCCGTAGACTTAGAGCAAGATTTATAAAAGCTGGAAAAAGTTGTTTTGAGACAGAAGTACAAGTGGTTTTGAGAACACACAACTGCCACCAGCAAACACAATGGAAAACAGGTTCTGAGAACATTCAGCATAACACTGTATCCCCCTTCTAAATCCCTTTATAACTTGTAGTTCAGGTCTTAACCTGGCATCAGAACAGTAAGAAAAAAAAAAATCCCTTCTAATTTGGCAGACTGCTTATAATCAACTAGATGCTTCCTTTTGTATCCTCCTTTGAAAAACACCAAGACAAACGTAAAGGAAGAAGAGTACATAGCACTCGCCTTTTACAGTATAGCATTTCCTATGTTTATGCCTGGAAAGCGTTTTCCGGTACTGTCGAACGTTGTGACGCTAGAGAGGACCAAAATAAGATGCAGATATTCAGATGCTAAGTTGTGAGGGAAGCAGGGACAATCTGAAGGATGTATTTCTCAAAAGCGATGATTGAGGTTTTTGCATTTTTTTCTTGAAAATGAATCTTTTCTTTAGTTTGCTTTTACTAAGACTATTAGATGGCTAAATGGGAAACCAATTAAAGCAAGATCACTGGACAAGTGATGTCTGATGTTTTTCAATTTGGTTAGCACTTCTGACCCCATGGCTGTTACCTACCATGGACGAAACACGATCTGTTACAGGAGTAATACAAATCTGATGTTTTGCTACCTTATACCTGCACATCTGGAACAGACTCCAGTGAACTGCTCTGAAGAGAAGGACAGAGATACAATTCTATGCTTAACCAAAAGACAGCAAGACCATAAAGATAAACCATGTACAGTCACTGAGGACGACACCCACTAAACTACCGCTTTATGTGGGCCAGGCTAACTAGACATGATGTAACTAGGCATGGAAATTATTTCACAAAGTGTTAACTAGCAGGTAGCAACAGATTTGCTAGTTTTGCTAGTCATTTGTCTGATAAAAATGACCAATAGGTTAGCACCAATACGAGAAAATATTTTGTCAGATTAAAAAAAAAAAAAAAAGGCAGAAATAGGACAAATTTTGGTAGGATGTGGAATTATAAATTATCAGAACCGATGAATGAAATTTCTTATATGGCACCAATTGCTATCGAGAAATAAAAGGAGATAATACTAGTGAAAGCATGCAAATTAAGACTATGTTGTTTGACAGGTATTTAATGCCTCCATTCACAACATTGTCCCTAAGGGCAGAATCAGCCATGACCATCCGAGAGAGAGCGCTGTTCCCTGAAGGATACAAAGGAGACACAGATTGCTTATTCAAGCAGCCTCCTGTCATTTGCAATTCCAAGCGCTGCTTTACTTTCTGAGGTCGCTCAGAAGCCTTGTGACTGAAGTCATAACTTGAATTTATTTATTCCATATCCTGTTTACTAATTCACTGATAAGTCCCTCTCACCATGCTAACCATTCACTGCATCACATGGCTTCTTTTCTACACTACAACAAATCAGCCCTTCCATTGATGCCTTTGTAAGCACGTTGTCAAGATTTGTTCCACTTCAATACCAAGGCAAAGCGCTGGCCTTGTGGCCTGGAAGCAAGATATCGCTGTAGCGGCTCGTACTGGTGCTACTGCCTGGTTTTCCTTCTCTTCCTCCTTACTGTGCTGCGCTCCTGCCAAAAGTTAACTTTACAGGAGAGCGATCCCTGTTGAGAGGACAGACAGGGCTGCCCCTATTGTTCTGACTCAGCACGCTCGGAACAAAATGCGGACCAACTGCAGAAAGAGACATTTATAACGCTTTCTCCAGAACATAAAATAAACAGAGTGAACGTGCAGCTGGCCTGGTAGCAGCAACAGAGCCTAAGCCTTTGCTCTTCATTTGGCAGGAAGAGCTGCGGTGCCTGCATAGGAAGGAATTATTTTTTCACCAGACCTCTCTGCCACATTCAAGAACAGCAATGATAACATACAGCAGCTGACTTGAGAAGTGGACAGAGCCTGTAAGATTTTACTTTTAGAAAATAGCCAGTATACTGCCAATACATGCATTTTTCTAGGTTCCTATAACCTTGATTATTACACCTCTAGTAACACAGAAACCAAGATCCTGAGCGGAACAAATTCAAAGAGAAGTGTCTTACTCAGGAGTAGGAAACTGCAGAATTAACTAAGATGCATATCACAAACTGACTTCAAACATGTAAAGTAGAATCACTGAATGAAGGATTTAATGCTGGGTTCCTAAGATTTCTACCATGCTGACAGTTCCTGTGATTAAAAAAGCCACGAATCTTGTTCTCAGAAATTCATTATGTAGCATTGTACACTAAAATACAGGACGCTGTTATACAACCAAACATCTGGGGAGATTAACCCCGATTAAAAAAAAAAATCTCTGGGAAAAGCAGCTATTTAGTAGAACAAGGACGACAGCAGAATGAACTACCAGATTTGTTCAACTGAATGAAGCTGTATGTTAGGAAGCATTATTTTACCAAACAACAAATCAAGCAAGTATTTACCTTGATCCAAAGAGGTGCTGAGTACAAAGCTCCCGGTGCTTTCCCACCAAAAAAAACCCCAGAGCAGTATCTTTACAGAGAGGGAGGACTACAATGACCTGGAACATTCAGGAATATGTTTCTTCACAGTACCGAAGAAAAGGAATTCAGGGAAGCCTCGTAGGAGGGTGTCCTGAGACATGGTGCATATGAACAAAGGGGCAGTCGAGCCCACGTTGCAATGACAGCTGTGGGCAACAACAGAGACGAGAGGGCAGGAGGAAGGTACTGCCAAGCTAAGAGCAGCCTGAAAAAGCCTTTGGCTGAGCTGCAGATAAAAACCGTATAAGGGTTCTGCTCGTATGTTGTAAAGCTATCCTCCCACTACCTACAGTCACTTCAAGGCTCGATCTCAACACGCCGGTAAGTAATTTCTGTAATACCGCTCTATTTCATCATTCTGAAACTCTACATAAACACTACATAATTACAACAGCTAAAGTTTTTCCTGACAGTTTTCATGCATTCAAATATATGCGCCCATTCTTCCAACTATGAAGCATCATTAGTACTTGCAAAAAGTCTGCTCCTTGTGCTAAACAGAATTGCTTAGCTGATTTTATAAGGCATTTACTGTAGCTGCTTTTGGGTACAAACAAAGCAGACTTTTTTTTTTTTTTTACTTTTTTCCAGTAAAGCGTCAGAACTGTCAGAAGTATCCATTAGCAAAGAATTTGTCCAAGAAGAATTCTATCATACTGTTGTTATTACAGGAAAGACAAGAAAAGTAATCTCAGACAAGGACATATGACTTGGCAGACATGTGAAGCAGAGATATCAGCCTAATATTCCAAGAACAAACTCAACTACTGCCAGCAAGCTGACATCTACAGTTCATGTGCATCTGCTGCTTCCCATGAACTACAGTTTGCAGGAGTGTGAAATTAGACACTTAACAATTCTATCACGTTAAGACATTAAAGAAAAAACTCAGCACTCTGAACTCATATTAAAAAAAAATTTAATATGTTTTTTTCCAAGATCTAATATATAAATGCAATGGTAATAACGTACTCTTCTTTTGTAAGCTTGGATGAAATATATTGAAGTCCACTTTTCGCATATTACATAAATAATCATCTAAAGCAACCTAGAAAAGAAGAAAAAAAAGCTTAGTCCATATGATGCACACAAATAATTGGGCATGAAGTTTAAAAAGCAATACATGAAACCGAATGAGGAACTGCAAAAAGGCTTGACAGTTTGCCTGTTTTATTAAGCGGTAGCATAACCATCACATTCAAATGATAAAAAAAAGGTAGGTTTTGTGAAAAGAAGCATTATCTTTTACTAGACTAAACAGCAAATTATAAAAATAGAGAAGATTTTAGGCCCTTGCATCAGAACGATGGTCTATGAATATACAGACATCTTGGGCAAAATTACATAGTTAAAGAAGGATTAGAAATATTGATCAAAACTATGAGGTTCCAGAGTCAGACACACATTATGATATTCAGAAGTTTTAGGTACTACATCCTCCCAAAATAGACACATGAAGCATTAGTTAACCATGCCTAATTTGATACTCTACTCTTCACAAACATATTAGCACAGAAATGAGTCCATCACTTAAAGAGTGCATGATATCACACCCACCGTACAGAAAAAAGCAGGATATGCCTTCACAGGAACTTTCTTACTGAAAGATCTAGCCTGAAAGTAAATGGGGTAAGGTGGGAGGAAAAAAAAAAGAAAAACAAACACAAATGTACTTATCAGGACAATTTAACATTTCAGATTAAACATCAAGTACTATACGTAATGGTTAGAGCCAACAGACTGTATTACAAGCTTCATCCCTTTTTATTTTGACATCCTGAAACTATAATTTTCCATTATGTGCAAGCCAGCACCATCCCTCACTGTATACAAAAGTAATTACACAGAAAGCATGTAATACTGGGAGAGGCCTGCTAAAATTCTTACATGTTTTGACAACCTTACAGTTTACACATAATAAACCAATGTAAATTACCATCCCTTGTTCTGACAAAGTTCCAAGTTGCATCTGATTTAATCAATATGCTTTAACACTTCCCCCCCCCCCCCCCCCCCCCCACCCATTACTACCCTA